ATTTATTAAATTATCTTTTTTATTCATTATAAATTTAACAATAGATACTTAAACACTTGTAACCGAAAAAAATCGATATCCAAACGGTTACGGTCACCGTTATTGATAAAAGGACCGGAACCGAAACCGAAACCGAAAATCAGGTACAGCATCAGACCGTAACCGTAAACGGACCGAAATTTCATTTCGGTCCGAGTCCCTGATCTAAAGACAGAAGATTAATTGTAAAAAATTTGTAACTTTTTATGTAAAAACTATCTTTGTAAAACAAATCTGTTTCTATTATTTTTATTTACACGTAAATGCAATAGAATACATATTGTATATACATATTTCCGTAACAAACACTCAACGTAGAGCTCTTATGATCGTTTATATATTTTGTGTTTGATTATTTTTATTCTGTGACAATTTATTTTTACAATACTGAAAAATTTTTGTTTATTGAAAAATATGTCTGACGTAATAAATAAATTCTTTAAAAATACTTTTTTTGCTTTTAAATTTCGCATGCTAGTGCATCACTCGCAACATGGCAATAGGCCACGCCTATCGCCACTGAAACATCAAAGGTTCCGACAGGAGTGACCCTACTGGTTATTCTTTATACTGTAACTATGTCGTGTCGATAATGTAACTACTCTTTCTTTAAATTTTCTTATCAAAATGTAGAACTATTGACCATTTACTAAATATTTAACGTTGACAAATAACATGTATATGTATATATATGTGTAATAAATGTGTAAAAGTCTTGTTTAAAAAATTATATACTATATAAATACAATTATATTAGATTATTATTATATTATATTATATCTATGTATTTTGTGTATACGATTATATAGGGTGTCCTAAAAATTTTGATCAAACCGAAATGTGAAAGTAGATTACGTTAATCTAAATAGAAAAGTTATATATTATTTTGCAAAATTCGCAATAGGTATTGAATAGGTAATTAATAAATGTAAGCCAATGAACGCGCGGGAAGCAATGGTCCGGACTCTGTCCGTATGCTTATCAGCTATGAAGAAAAATGGCTTCCTTCATGCAATGTCCTAGCAACGAGAAACGTTCGTTGGCGTCGGTTCAGCGTCTTGTGGGAAGCCGGTGATGCGCGCTTACCGCACGGCGGCTTTGAAGTCCGCGTTCTCGCGAGGATTCTACCTGTCGACCTGCTGGCGAATGAGTACGCGGAACTGTACTCCGCCGGACAAGCAGCCCTGGATTGAGCGCGCGCGGCCGGCCGCGATTTGAATCCGGAGGAGGTCCGGCAAACGCTGTCAGGAGCTCGCGAACTCGTGGTGCTACGATGGCAGCGTCGCCTAGACAGAGGGTCCGCTCCTCCCAGGACAGAGGGTCCCAGAAGCAGTAGAGCCAGTTCTTAAAGACTGAGTGGACCTCTTAGATCTGTAGATAACCTTTTGGTCAACCCAAGCAATTGGGCATTTCTGCACCGAATTGCTAAGAAGAACTCTCCGGTGTGTGAGCAGTGCGGAGTTACAGTCGACACTGCAGCTCACATTCTGGAAGAGTGCATCAGGTGGGACAAAGAGAGAGCGGCCCTGCGCGAGGCGCTTGGCCCTGACGTATCCCTCCCGTCTATCTTTCGGCAGACAGTCGGGAACTTGGAGAGATGGCGTGCATCCCTTGCCTTTTGCGAGAAGGTGATGGCGGTTAAGAAAGACACGGAGCGTTTACGCCAGGGTCAGCCTCTGGTCCGGAGACAGATCAGAGACTTCTCTCTCCCTCGTCTTGTTGAGATATCTCTAAGACTCTCCATGGCGAGCGAGAGAAAGAAGAGTCGAGATTCGCAGTCCGGAAAAGTGAGGGCTTTCTCGGACATTGCACGCGAACGTAAAAGTCGGCAAGAGGAGATAGGCTCTCTCCTGTCTGCGCGACGGTGCTAAGTGATTAGCACCTAGGCGTGGGAGGGAAACCGGGATGTTATACCTTCTGGTGAAAACCTTCCGGTTTTCCAGGTTTCCTCCCAGTGCGTAAGAGGAGCCTCAAGGGATTTTAGTAGATAAAAATAGATCCTCTTTGGCAAGTCTCACATAACCCTGGCCTTACAGGTCAGGGTATTCATAAAAGATTTCCTCTTGTAAAAAAAGGAAAAAAAAGGTTAAGCTTTTTCGAGGGAGGTGCAGAGAGGCGTAGCCTTTCCTGTCCACACGCTTACAACACAAACATAAATGACATAAAAATGTATTATTTTAATAATTCTCGTAGAATAATGGTCTATTTATGAAAGTTTCTTTGTTAACAAGTTGTTAGAAAACGACAAGAATAGTTTTGTTATTCTTACTCAAGAAAATGACTTTTATAATAAAAAATAAGTACATGCTTCTGTGCAAAAAAGATATCTGTGTAATATGGTACATGTGCAATAATGTTCATCATACATGCGCAATTGAAATCTGCGCAAAAATTTTTTGTACGAACAAGATCTGTGCAACAGTCGATCTGGTCAAAAAAAAAATCATAGCAATCGTTGCCTTGCCAAAAATGATAATGCGATTCAAACCCGAAAAACATCTACGAATATTAATACAACACACCGCGAAAGCATCAAATATCAGAATGGAAAAAATAGATCTAATTAGATTCAAATTAAATCTAAATAAATTAAATCTAAATAAATATAAAGTAGATCTAAATAAATATAAGTTAGTAGATTTGCGTAAATTTACACTTTTATTTAATATTAGATTTCCTTTGAATTTACTCAAATTTACTATATTAAATCACTCCAGATTTGTTTAGATCTGCTTAGATTTAAGTAGATCTAAATAGATCTAATATAGTAGATTTGTGAGTAAATCTAAAGAAGATCTAATATTAAATAAAAGAGTAAATTTACATAGATCCGCTTATATCTATTTAGATCTATTTATAATTATTTATATCTATTTAAATTTAAGTTCTAGGATCTAATTTATTTTTTTCCGGGAAGCTTCAAAATCTTTTTTTAGGACATTCAAAATGATCGTCTATGTCTCTAGAAATGGAAAGTATAGCATTTGTTTAAATTCATACTGCCAATTTTGTATATGAAATGAAAATGTGGACTATGTCGTAACAATCCATAAAATTTTTTGGTTTTTCTTGAATCCTTTTAAACTTTCCACTTCTTTAGCATATCTTCTTTAATTCTGGAGAAACGTTTTTTATGTCGATCAATGAGTGCAGAATGAGTTGCAAAATAAGAAATGCCAGTAAAAAAAGACGATTCAGCATCATCTTAAGTAATTTAATGTCTTAGGAAATATATACATATACATAAAAGAAAACATTAGTAACGTCACCATAAGTAACTGATACACTACGATGCAAAGAGAAAAAATCAAACCCACTGTCTGCACAAACATCAGTGAACTAAATGCTTCTGCTAAAACGCTTGCTAATCTGTAAAAACTTGCATAAACACACTGCTTGTTTTATGGTTTTCATTAAAATACATGATACACAAAGAACATCTAAAAGAAATTCTAAGACTCTACAATTTCAAAATAGATTATTTTTAATCGTTTTGCCAAGAACCAAAAACAAACTATAATAGACGCTTCAAAGAATTAAAACTATTGCTAAGAAAAATATATACGTACATGTATATATATATACAAGGTATTCCAAAAAGGTCAGGATTCTTGAATATATAATAAGGAATATATTGAATATATAATATTGAATATATAATAAGGTTTGAACAAATGTACCCTACCTAATTCCGTGCCACTAAAAAAAACAAATGTGAAACTTTAGTTTTGTTCAAAGGTGTGTGTTAATTTATTATTTTCTAAAATTTTATTTTCATTTTTTTAATGATTTTGTAAAGGTAGTAACTTAAATTTGTATATTAAAATTTGTCAAATGACCTTGAAGGTCAAGGTCAAGGTGAAATTGAAGGTCACTATCCAATGTCCCCCTCCGAACCCAACAACTTTTGTAAGGGTTATTTTGGATTGGTGGCTCCCCTGACGAGATATTCAGGTGCGTAATTTAAAATGGGACACCCTGTATATATATACAAAGTGTCCAACAATTAACGTATAATCTCTTGTAGGCAGGTAGAAGACGTAAACCTGAGTCGAAAAGTCCTATATCATTTTGCAAGATTCGAAAATTTTCGACTCAGTTTTACCCTTATCTGCCTACGAAAGATTATACACTAATTGTTGGACACCCTGTATACATATATATATTTTTAAAAAAATTAATTAGTATTAAGTAAATATTTTAAATTTAAATTATATTTAATTCTCAAACATTTATATCGGATAATTGGTTTACATCACGATTAAAAAGAAACAAAAACAATTTTTATCGATGTTCTCACCGCAAGAGCTGCACGTGACGCTTCGCCAGAGCTTTCATCTTGTAATGATACTTAGATGACTTAAAATTGATGTTTTTTATCCGATAGCCAATAATTGATAATTGACCGCACAGATAAAACGTAAGAGAAACGAAGACACTGTCCGCCGCAGTCGCACCGATGGTCATAAATGTGCTAGATGGCATTAGAATTACGCAAAATAGCGCATACGACTGAATTCCTGATATCTCGTAAATAAAATTTATGCGAACTGGTAGCTCAAACGGAAGAGTACAGTTGTCAGAACCTATCAAGAAATTTATAGAATTAATTTTCTAGTATTACAAAATAACATCAAAGTATAATTTTTGTTAAAGATTTGCTCAAAAAAGATGCTATTTAGAATCTTTGATCGATATTTATAGTTAGATCTTATTTAAATTCAAGATCATTTTAAGTTTAGAGGCTTTGGAACCAATAATACATCATCTTAATTCTTTTGCTGTAGCAAAGATTAATGCAGAGCGCGCGTGATAGACGTTTAGCTGTAACTAATGCTACAGACGACGAAACTTTTCGCTGGCGCGCATTCTGTAGAAAATATTAAAAATATAAAAGTTGTCGAAACACTGAAGTGCATTGCGTTATTATAAAAATACAATATATAAGTCAATAATAAATACCAAAGATGTCTTTAGCGCCATTTAATATTTGTTGAATACTTGAAAGCGCTAATAACTTAAATAACAAGAATTAGTATGCCAACATTATATTTTGAACAAACTTTCAAAACACTCGCAGGCATCGATAGCAACGAAAGGATTAAAACGACTTTATATAGATCGTATCCTTACAAAAAGTTTAGTTGAACTATCAAAAAATCGATTGTTTTCTCTTTACAATTTCTTAAACTTTATTTAAAAGTGGTTGTAAACAGTTTGTTACGTCCTGAGCCTGTAATTACGGTCGGGCGTTATTGGTAATACGCAACAGACGCACTAACACATTCAAGCAAACGTGAATTATATCCCGACACATTGACACAAAGAAGGAAGTCAGGAAGCGCGAGTCGAGCGAGACAGTTTGGCAACGCAGACAGGCCAACAAAGTTTCCCGATTTTTCTCTATCTGACATATTTTTACTCGTTGGTCCCATTTTAAGCCTAAGACGCGAGTCTGAATTACCAAGAACGGAACGCGGCTATCTAACAAGAAATTGAATAAATGAATAAGTAGTTGTGTTAGCTAGTTTGTGTTAGTTAGACCAGGTCTAGAAGAGATAAACTAATTGAAGCCGAATTTTATTGCAAAAATATAATCATAATTGTTTATTAATAGAGATCTATATAACATGAGTGAATAATTGTCAACTTATAATCGACCTTTTTCAGTTAACTTATAGTCGACTTTTAAAATTTGACTTTAAGTTGACTTTTAGAAGACGACTTAAAGTTGACTTTCAAAAGTCGACTATAAATTGTCGGCAAATAGTCGACTCTAGTCGACTATTGCCAACAATTAGATATGGCTTTGAAAGGTAAATTAAACATAATTATTGTCGACTTAAACATAATTGTATTTCTCATCGCGCTAACGTATATATTTATGCATTTGTGTGTATATCTGACGCCTCTAGTCTCAGTAAGTGTCAATAATTCATTGTGATCATTGCGTCGGTTGTTTTTTAAGTATATTTTGAGAGTACTGAAAATTATATAATAATATACTATTCGTCGACTTAAAGTTAACTTAAAGTCGACTTTTCAACGGTTGATTATAAGTTGACGGCAGTGTTCATAGTTTTGAGACCCTTACAGCATGCAGCAGCGTGGAGAAGATGCGCACAACACCAGCAAGCATTTACTCGCCACTTTTTTTTTTGTGCATTCTTTCCACCGCTACAACATACTGTAAGCGCTTAGGGCGGTACTGGATACCGACTATAGAGACCTGTAAACCGACGTTTTTATAACCTAAATTTCTTTATTTTTTAATTTTATTTACTGCACAACATTAAAAGCGCTTCTACAGAAGCAAATAAATATACAAAACTATATAAAGCTTTTAAAAATGGGTATATAATGCTTTTTTGAACTTGTTTTTCATTCATAATGATAGTATATGGTAGCAAATACACATCATCACAATATTACTTTTTGTGCATCAATTAGACAACCAAATCATATTCTGAGTGTTTCATTAGATTGTTTTGTGTCGTACGTATTGCTGTAATTCAGTGTAAATACGTACATAAGCTTAGAAATAATTTTATATACATGATGATATGATAAGGTTATAGAAGAAAACTGTATAAGAAAAAATTTATGCTGAATTTTGACATTTTAAAGAACAACAGCAAACTCTTAGCACAAGTTACTTATTTCTGTAGAAGCATTTTGGATTTAATGCAGTAAATACGGCACAAAACGAAATATTAAAACGTCGATTTACAGGTCTCTATAGTATCCTCTTAAGAGGGTACTGGATACCGACTATAGAGACCTGTAAATCGACGTTTTAATATTTTTGTGTCGTATTTACTGCATTAAATCCAAAATGCTTCTCCAAAAATAAATAAATTGTGCTAAGAAAGTGCGATTCTTTAGAATGTCAAAATTCAAGATAAATTTTTTCTCTTTACAGTTTTCTTCTATAACCTTACCATATATTCATGTATGTAAAATTATTTCTAAACTTCACCGAATTAGCGCACTAAGTACGACAAAAAAGAACATAATGAGACACTCAAATTATGATTTGACTACTTAATTACTGAGAGAAATAAAAATATTGTGATGACAGAATAGGTTATCATATGCTATCATTATGAATAAAAACAAAAGTTCAAAAGAGCATTATATACTCATTTTCAAAAGCACTATGTACTTTTTTATATTTATGTGCTTCTGTAGAAGCATTTTTCATGTAGTGCAGTACACAAAATTAGAAATTAGAGCAATTTAGGTTTCTAAAACGTCGATTTACAGGTCTTTATAGTCGGTATCCAATAGCCTCTTAAGAGGATGCTGAATCGTCCTGTTTTACCCTCATGTCGTATTTAGAACTTTTTGTGAAAACTATGAATCGGAACAAAAAACGCTTCTCCAGAAATAAAGAAAATACAGTAAAAAATAGGATAAAGCATAAAAATTCAAGAAAAACAAAAAAAGTTTATAGACATTTCTTACAGAAACTACTTTTTTACTTTATATGCAACATTGGTCATATAAATCCAAATAAAAATACCTTTAACTCAAACTAGAAACATAGACAAATATTTTGAGTGCTTCAAAAAAATGTTGAAGCCTTGTGAGACAAGAAAAATTCCAAATACGATTAGTACAATTTTAGCAGAAGCATCAGAGAGAAACATATGTCTATCATTGTCTCTCTCATGTTATCTATCCTTGTTTTGGTGTGACTCGGTCCCGAGAGATGGCGCCACTTACCCGATAGCATAGCGATTGAGTAGCAGCTGAGCGGACTTTTGCCAGCGGTTCAGCATTTTTTTAATACCCAGCAAACAAAATGATAGCAACGTGCCGGCATTATTTTTTTTTTTTTTTTTTTTATTTTAACTCCTAGCAATTACAATCTGTCTTTAAACTTAGGACATTCAGTAATAAGTTTGAACGTGAAAAAAGAACTTGTATTTGATGTGCCCTGTGGCACATACAGACATTAACAGTATCGTAGCTTTAATTTGTAATTAAGTCACGAGGTGTCTTCCTCTTTAGCCTCCTGCTATTGCTTTTCTCTGTCATTAGCTGTCTAGCTAAATTGCTTGGATGGTTTGAGATTCTGTCTTTATATGTCTTGATTCTTATTCCAATCTCTTCCCTCACCGTGGGTATGCTCAAGTCTCGATGTAAGGTTTCGTTTGATACGTACCAGGGTGCATTTAAGATCATCCTTAGCATTTTGGATTGGAATCTTTGGATTATTTCTATATTGGAGTGTGACGCCGTACCCCAAAGTTGGATCCCATATGTCCATATAGGTTTAATGATAACTTTATAAATAAGTAGTTTATTTGTGAGGTTTAATTGGGAATTTCGACCTATCATCCAGTACATTTTTCTCAGCTGCAGTCCCATTTGCTTTCTCTTAGTGAAGATGTGTTTTTGCCATACTAACCTTCTATCAAGGTGTATACCGAGATATTTTACGTGCTCTGCTTGAGGTATTTCTGTATTATTTAGGCTGACAGGTGGGCAGGTTTCGTGTCTGATAGCAAATGTGACATGGATTGATTTAGCGCCGTTTATCTTGATTCGCCAGTTTCTCGTCCATAAGAATATGTTATTCAAGCTGGTTTGAAGAATAGCAGAGGCCACTTTAGATTCTGAGTGGGATGCTAGTATGGCGGTATCATCAGCAAAGGTACCCACAGTAACCTTTTTGTTTGTGGGCAAATCAGCTGTGTATAACAAGTATAAGATCGGTCCCAAAACGCTACCTTGAGGCACTCCAGCTAAGGCGGGTCGGAGGTTCGTTATTGCCTCACCGTGACTGACTCGGAAGTATCGATCTTTGAGATAGGATTTTAGTGTTTCAAAAAAGCTGGGGATATTGGTTTTGATTTTATACAATAGGCCGTCGTGCCAAACACGATCAAAAGCCTGAGAGACGTCCAGAAAGGCAGCTGAGCAATACTTCTTTTCCTCGAAAGCTTGATAAATTTTATCTGTAAGTCTATGCACCTGGTCGATTGTCCCGTGGCCTCGCTTAAACCCGAACTGGTGTTCAGGGACTAGGTCCCTCTCTTCTAGGGCTGGCAGTAATCTTGTTAAAAGTAGAGACTCCAATACCTTAGATGGAATCGGAAGCAAACTAATGGGCCTATAGGATTTGGGATCCTCAGGAGTTTTATCTAGCTTCAAAATCATTTTGATCTGGGCAACCTTCCACTGCGGCGGGACAAATTTACGTCTTAAGACTGCATTATAAAGATGCGTTAAATATAAGAAACCAGAATCAGGTAGCTCCTTGAGTAACTTACCAGTTATCAGATCATAGCCCGGCGCTTTTTTGTGGTCCAGTTTTTTAACGGTTGCTATAATTTCAGATTTACGAAATTTCCCTACTGGAATTTCTTGGGAGGGGGGTTCAGCAAGAGTGCGCATCACCTCTGTCTCGTGTTCAGCTGTTCCCTCGTAGGGATGAGGCAAGAAGACTCTCTGTAGATGGTTTGCAAAGGTCTCAGCCTTCTCATAGTCACTTGTATCCCAGTTGCCATCTTCATTCCGTAGAGGAGGGAAAACTGTTTTGGGTTTCTTTAACTTCCTTGTTGCTTTCCACAAGGAG